CTCTCTCTCTCTCTCTCTCTCTCTCTCTCTCTCTCTCTCTCTTTTTCTCTCTCTCTCTCTCTCTCTCTTTCTTCTCTCTCTCTTCTCTCTCTCCTCTCTTCTCTCTCTCTCTCTCTCTCTCTCTCTCTCTGTCTTTCGTTCTTTCTTCCTATTTCACCACTGTTCATCGCTATAGCTCTATAGCCCAATTACATTGAGAGATGAGCTTGGCACAGCAGAAGAAACCGCAGTGAATCTGCGTCCCATAGAGACGATCACTGCGACCCCCGTAGAGACGGCCCAAGACTCGGCTTCACACAAATCTCTTTCTCCCATTTATACTCCCACGTCCCTCTATCTAAAGGTCAGCAGAAGGTCCGCGCCCTCTGGTGGAACAAACCCACGAAATCTTTACGTTAGTACGAAAGCCCAGAGGGCTCGCTCGAATTTCAAATATAATTCGAGTTTCTTTTCCGATAGGGGTCTCTGAGACTATTCAATTCCGAGCTTGCGTTTCATTTTCGGGATTCGTAGTTCCTCGCAACGTCTGGGGAAATATCGAGCGCATTGTCGTATTACTGCGTCATCGTGCGGTGAGCAGGTACGTTTGTATGTTTTACCTGATTGACGCAAAACCTGCACGCTAATCATGCCAATCGATATATTGCCAATTTTGATCGGTCATGATTTATCAGTTGAGTTCTATCCTCGGTATGCTATAACATCGTGTGCATTGGGTTTGCGTATTGTCGACATGTATTCATAACACACTGTGCTACCAGCGTGGTAATATGTCGGTTGATTCTTGTTTTAATGGCGTCATATTCCGGCAGTATTTTTCGACAGATCGTTGTAAAACCGACAATCTGAATCGATCTGATTAAATGACAGCAAACCACCGAACCGAACATGAATGACAAACATGTGCCAGCAAAAATTTATAACGCGAATGAAAGAACAAGGTGCTGCCATCTCGTAGCGTCGTCGGGAAATAAACTGTTTGGCGTTTAGTTACTCTTAACTTTCGTAAGCAAGTCGTTATATAGCATTGCTGTACGCGTTCACGTGATCATGTTCTTCATCCATCACGCATCGGATAGCTCTCATTAAATACACCACACTAGGCGCCACACGATGTCTTATATCATTGCACGTCTAGTTAAGCGGGTCCGTGTCACCACGTAAGTTCTGTATATAAGTGAAAATTTCGAATATCGCGCGAAATCTTTCTGTATCGTAAATCACAAATTATTTAGTACCCACCCCACACCTAACATCATATACGCCACTTTTTGGTGGTTTTATCACAAAACCCAACAGATATTTCACATATCTGCAGCATCATTATCGCTATTCGATGTTACAGAGGAGCAGTTGTTGTGACGAACAGCAGTACATATATTAACTATACACACACACACACACACACACACACACACACACACACACACACACAGATATTTCACATATCTGCAGCATCATTATCGCTATTCGATGTTACAGAGGAGCAGTTGTTGTGACGAACAGCAGTATATATATTAACTATACACACATGTGAGCAGCCGGCAAGGAATAGCAGAGAACTGTTCTGAGTTATGGAGTAATATGGAGTTATATGAGTCATATAATTGATTATGTTACAGAATAATGTATTGTTGGTGCATTAAGTTCAAACGTACGTGTTTACAGAGGTTGAAAGAACAGAAGCGAACGTTGTGACATTGCATGAAGAAGGCATACAGAGCATACAGGTTGCTAAGGAAGTCCACCTTGATTACAAACCTGATGGAGGTACGCATTTATGAAATTATTAACCTTCGTGTGTTTAGCAGATTAGAAGGCTAATTAGATTAAAATTATTACGCAGTGACTACGCGTCCGGTCATCCATTACAAAGCTCAGCACAGATTCCCAAATCCACGTCACGATTAGGCCACGCCCCCTTTCAAATCGTTGATTTTTACTGGATTTACTATTGGCAGTATTGCTTCAAAAGTTACAAAAACACATTTTTTTGATAAAATACCTAAAGGTAAGTAATATTATGGTAAAAACGTATTGTTTATTATTTTGTTACTAAAAAAATCTAGGTTCACAATTTAATTCAAAATCTAGGTTCTAAAAATCTTTTTAGATTCACATAAGAAATACATGACCGGACGCGTAGCCTGGGAGCTGGGCGTCCGGTAACCGGACGCGTAGCCACGGCAGAATTATTATTACGTGTATCGCGGAATCCATGTTTGCGGTGTGAAACATTCGGTATATAACACTTATCACATCAAGCACTTCGTTGTTTTATTATGCCGGGCGCTCGAGAGATGTAGATTCACCTAACAGACACTCTTCGCGCGTTAGTAGATAGTACAATTCAAGAAAAAGAACGGTTAATCACATTTCTCAGCAAAGTAATGAAATCAATATCAACGCAGATTAAAAATGTCTTCACAATCTAAGTCCGTCATACCAGATAAAATCTCAAATCTGGTTTTCAACTAGTTGCCTACACGTCGTAACTTAAGCTCATTTTCTCAGCTCTGATTCTTAGCGCCCGTAAAATATTAGCGCTGAACATTATTTTTATCGGGTGAAAGTTTTGTCATCCGATTGTCCGCGTTGTTGTATTGCTTTGACGAATTGGGTGTATATGCGGTATAATACAGCTTTGCTTAATTATGAAAGACCCATTTTTGTCGAGAAGAGGCGTGGCGCATTGTATGATCAAGTGCGGCACTGTCAGGAGACTTTGATGTCGAAGCTTTTGATGATCAAAATGAAGGTTTTTCTCTACATAAAAATATAATCGCTTCGTTTGTGATTAATCATGCGGAAACTTGGCGCGTGTTTATTACCTGCAATCCATTCAACTGCTGTCGCATCAAGCCTGAAATCCGGCAGCATTCCTCTCATGCCAACCGAAACTCTACAATTTACGAACCTATTCAACATTATATGCATTTACACAAATTAGGCCAGCGTTTAATATGAATCGCGAAGCATGCCCGACATCTTCTACATTACGAAAACGAATTCCCAGTTAACGGGATATGCTCGCGGCCATCCATCATAATGAATTCAGAGTGTTTTGCTGCCGACATGGGTTTGTCGCAGCGCATTTCTCTATGCGGATAAACACGATACGATTAACGAAAGCCGTGTGTTTACCACGTCGTTCTTCTATCGAGCGGGCGTCCACCGGGAAATACCGCCCCCGCCAGTAATCTCCATCAGTATGTGGGCGTGCGTGCGTGCGTGCGTGCACGTGGGTGTGTGCGTGCGTGGGTGCGTGCGTGCGTGTGTGCGTGCGTGCGTGCGTGCGCGTGTCCATGTGTTATTCGCGCTAATTCCGATGATTACGGCGCTCGTAGGTTGTTCGTTCAAGAACGAATACTACGGTAACGGCGACCGGTGGCACCCGCGGGTGCAGCCGTTTGGCTCGCTCGCCTGCGTGCTCTGCCGCTGCAAGGATGGACATAGCACCTGCCGACGTCAGAAATGCCCGAAGCTGAAGTGTCCGCGCCGCGCACGGATACAGCCGGCCGGCGAGTGCTGCGCCATCTGTACAACAAGTAAGTGGACGAATTACGACGATCGGGAAGTGACGGATCCGGAACCGGAAGCGGTGTCGCAGCGGTGCGCGGCTGCTAACGTTGCTCGGCTTCCGCGGAGAGGAAAGAGCGGACGCGTGCTTCGCTCGCTTGCTCGCGCGCGCGCGTCGTCCCCGATGCAGGAATTTACGCGGCAGGCAACAAGCCGCGCGCTGTTGATCATGCATGCACGCCAGCGCACCCGCTCACGCCCGCGCACGTACGTCACTCGCTTGCACGGTGGCTGCGTACCACGCTAACCGTGTCGCGTGTTTGTGTTGTTACAGAACAGGAGAGGCGGCGATCGCGAGAGAAGAGCGGCGGCGGCTCCCACGCAGGAGGCGACGATACGGCGTGATTGCTGCCATATATATGCGCGGGTTGGACGCCTCGCTACTCCACCGGAGCCGGCGAGCAGTGATAGATTAGTGTTTTGCACCTACACGGGGATAGCTCTGATAGGAAGAGATATCAGACGCGAGCTGGGTTTTTCTTGGCTTCGTGTGCGTGCGTGAACTTTTAGACGTGGGTGCGTTTGTTCATCCATTAGCGTGCCTGCCTGCGTGCGCGTTCGTGCGCATGTTTGTCCAAGTTCCTGTTAGCGCGTCTGCCTGCGTGCGCGTTCGTGTGCATGTTTGTCCAAGTTACTGTTAGGGCGTGTACATGCGTGCGCGTTCGGGCGCATATTTGTCCAAGTTACTGTTAGCGCGTGTACCTGGGTGCGCGTTCGGGCGTATGTTGGTCGATGTTACTGTTAGAGTGCGCGCGCGCGTGGTGTGAAGTTGTTTGCGTGTGCGTGCGTGTGGGCGTGTGCGTGCTTGTGTATGTGAGCGCGTGTGTTTGTCCACACTACTGTTAGCATGTATGCGTGCGTGCGTATGACTGTTGGGAGTGTAATATACGTATAATGTCGTTTACGAAGGAACTGTATAATAAGCCATATAATTTGTTTACATTGAAATATTTATATTGTGTGATATATATAGCCGTTAAAACTCATTTTCGCATCAAAATGAGGCAATGTAATGCACGCGTGTGTGCGCACGTATGCGCACGTATGCGTGTGTGCGCACGTATGCGTGTGTGAGCGTGCTAGCGTTCGTGCGCGCACGCGTCTGTGTGCGCGTGCGGGTGCTCATACTTGAGTCGGTCTCTTGCTATCGTGTACCTGTACTGTCCGCGTTTGTCGCAAGACAGTTGTATGATAATTATAGGGTCTGTTAAACATTCCAATTACAGCCCTTAATGTGTAAGCTATTGGAATATATGGTATCGCGCGTGCGTCAAAATATTATGCTACATCGCGTGTAATAAAAATATGTGTACATAAAAACTTCACTGTTAACAGCTTAATATATAGTATATAATTATGTACATATATATTATAATGTGTGAGCATCGTGTGTGTGTGTGTGTGTGCTGTGTGTGTGCGTGTGTGTGTGTGTTGTGTGTGTGTCGTGTGGTGTGTGTGTGTGCCGTGTGTCGTGTGTCGGTGCTGTGTGTGTGTGTCGTGTGCGTGCGTGCGTGCGTGCCTGCGTGCCTGCGTGCGTGTGCGTGTGTGTGTGCATGGATGATGCGCGTGGACGTGCGGTTTAAGATCAAGAGATCACGAATAACAGAAACAGGTTATCCTGAAGCAGAGAAATCAGTGTCCATCCCGCGGGCGAATGATATACACGGATATACTAGGCAAGCTGCCTTTTAACCATTCATCCCGCAATGTAATTAAGCCTAGTCCAACGATAAATCACCAAGCAAGATACACGTGAGTTGCAAGAAAATAAAATATATTTACGCGATATACTCTCGATTATAATCTGTATGAGACAAATATGTAAAATGTATAATCAGTAATATATAAATCATTTGTAAGACAATCGGCATATTAGATTTAGAAGTCCCTGTTTATGTTCAGCTTAAATTAAACATTACAATGTCGTCAGACAAAAACATTGTCGTCGGTGGTCCGATATTTGTTATCATAATCGTATCCTGGAAGCGAGAATAAAAAACGCTATTATATTATAAAGAGCTCGCGAGCAAATCAACACATGCAGAGATACACCAGTCTAATCGTTCACTGAGCTTGCGTTTTAATTCCTCCGCCCAAATCTGTGACTTATAAGATAAGTGGGTGTACAAGTTACGTCACCAGATTGAGAGCGTTCGAATATTTCTCGCGCCGACACCATACTAAGCACGCGAACACACGCGCACACGCACATTATTACTGCAGGCGGGACGAGCTTTGGTGTGTGCCGTGCCAGCCGCACCATTGTGTGTGTGTGTGTGGTGTGTGTGTGTGTGTGTGTGGTCGTGTGTTTTGTGTCTGTGGTGTGTGCCGGCCTCGGCCGCGCCGCTGGATGCTTGCGTTCCCGTTGCGCCATGTATGAGGCAAGAACGCGTTCAAATCCATAGATTTACAAGCTATCAATTGTATGCCCGTGCAGGCAGTGAGAAGAGTGACCCAGGCTCGGTGTAATATATATATATATATATATATCAAGAGATATATATATATATATATATATATATATATATATATAATTATACACCCTCGTTAGCAGATAATACGACACATGCCTCGTCGTTCACGGGGATCTACACTTCCCGTGTATAACGGGAATTGCTGAACTCTCGCAGTATTTTCCGACAGCGGTAGACGTACGCATGCTTCGACGGGTCGTCCTTATCCAAATCGCAGCTGTGCGTGGGCGCACACTTACATCTGTAATACGAAACGCCATTCTCATCGGTAAAAAAAGAAGTAGCTTCATCTGTCGTTTGATTCTCGTCGTACATTCTACTCGGGTCATGGATTCATTGATTACTCGCCCCGTTACGATGGAGACACGCAGCGTATAATTATTACGTATATATGTACGTAATCCACGAATGCATCACCGGCAGCAGAGAAGAAAGACAAGATGAGAATAAAACGATATGTCGCGCGATATTGTTATAGACGTGCTTCTCGTTATATCGTTACGATTCTCAACCACTGTTAAATGAGAAAAAAATGCCCTTTAATTAAAAAAAAGTAACCCATAAGGGAATTTCTCGCTCGTTCTGAGATTCTGGCAATAAGAATACGACCATCGACACAAACAGCTCTTCGTATGTCACACCCGTCGCTTTCATCGTCAGAAAATTTCATTACAACTGAAATCGCTTACTCTCTAACATATATATCGATATCGATATCGATCATGCACATCCAAGTATGGATTGCGGATCTCGATTATCTTCGATCGATTATTGATTATCGATGTATTTGCGATCGTGCTCGTTACGTACGCGTTGGGCAGGAATGTGTGAACTCTGCGGGTGAAGGATTCGGCTTCGTAGATTCCCCATCCGCATTCCGACAAGCAGGCTGGCATCCCGTCGTTAAACCAACCGTCCTCCCATTGCCTCTGCGCATGAAGACGACACGTGAGAGAATGCGCGTTTATACTGGATGGACTCGTGTAGAACGAGTTATTTTTAGAACCCCTTATACCCCAATCCCCCCCCCTACACACACATACATACACGCACACACATAGACACACACACGCATACACACACGCGCGCACAGACGCACACATGGACGGACATACGCGCACACACACGTACACATACACGCACACATACACGCACGCACGCACGCACGCACACGCACGCACGCACGCACGCACGCACGCACGCACGCACGCACGCACGCACGCACGCACGCACACATACATACATACATACATACATACATACATACATACATACATACATACATACATACATACATACAT